TCTCTCTCTCTCTCTCTCTCTCTCTCTCTCTCTCTCTCAAAAAAAAAAAGAATTGTAATGCAAAAGTAAATAAATAAATAGGTTAAAAAAATAATAAATTTAACTTGTATTACACCTTCCTCTCAGAATTAAGTAGTGCTTTGACATTCCTGCACATGTAATGTTTTTTACATCTGTTGAGTTGCATGGAATTTTGATGTTTGGGTATATCTTCTACCACCAGAGAAACAAACATGATCATAGCAGAAACAAAAGCATATATTCTTTTGTTGTTGGGGGGGGCATTGGGGAGTGGTACAAAAGAATTAAATCCAGGGCCACTTAATCACTGAGCCACATTCCCAGCCCTTTTTTTATATGTTATTCGGATGCAGGGTCTTGATGAGTTGCTTAGGACCTCACTAAATTGCTAGGCTGACTAGAACTCAAGTTCCTCCTGCCTCAGCCTCCCTAGCTGCTAGAATTACATGTGTGTGCCACCCCACTTGTCTCAAAAGCATGGATTCTTAAAAATCAAGGGACAAATGTTTTTTCTGATAGTGGATTCTGATCCATAATGGGGGTGGGTGACAAGCAAAGAATAGAGGAACTTTGGATTGGGCAGAGGTGTGGGGGGTTGTATGGCGGGGAGATGGTAGAATGAAATGGACATTATTATCCCTGTGTATGGGTGTGATTGCACAAATGGTGTGACTCTACATGATGTACAACTGGAGAAATGAAAAGTTGTGCTCCATTTGTGTAAGAAAATAAAATAATAATTTTTTTTTAAAAATCAAGGGACTTGCCTGATTTTGATTCTGTTGTCTATGATGATGGAAGTGTTAAATAAACACCCAATCTATTATCAATTATTGTTCTTTTTAATAGTCGAGCCCATCTTCTCCAGAACCAGCTAGTCTTCCTGCAGAAGATATCAGTGCAAACTCTAATGGCCCAAAACCTGCAGAAGTTGTACTAGATGATGACAGAGAAGATCTTTTTGCAGGTAATTATCATATCTTTTTATTTGTTTAACAGTAGTTAGTTAGATATTCTATGATAAAATATTCTCTAAAGCAAAACATAAACTCTGTGTATTAGTTTTTGCTCTTCTTATAACAACTTAAGGGGAATTTCCTATTAGATTATTCTGTGAAATATATGGACTGATTAGAGAAGCAAAACTGATATCCTTTCTTAGTTTTAAGAATTTGGAAATAAATTTCATGCTATAATTTATTGTTTTAGTCAGTCCTTAAACTCAAAAGACTAATGATTGTGGTATTCAAATTTCAAAAAGTAGCATCGATTCTTATTTTTTTTTAATTAACAAGTTGTCACAAAGCAGAATTAAACTATGGATTGCAAAGTCACCTTATATTTTAATAAGTTGCTATACTTCCTATTTTATTTTGGCTTACTTTTAGGTGAATCAATTGATATTGGAGGAATTTATTGTACATATAGAGGCAAAATTTGGTGTACTTATCCTAACTGGGGGAAAAAAAAAAGCATTGGACTCTTCAAAAACAACTATGCCTTGGCTAAAATTTAGTTACAAACTAATGTTTTAATATTAAAAAAGCAAAATCTTAAGGTTATTGAAACAAATTAAAATATATATATTTTTTTAGAGAGAGAGAATTTTTATTATTTATTTTTTAAGTTTTCGGCAGACACAACATCTTTGTTTGTATGTGGTGCTGAGGATCGAATATGGGCCACACGCGTGCCAGGCAAGCGTGCTACCGCTTGAGCCACATCCCCAGCCCACAAATTAAAATATTAACAATTAGTTGAACTGGCTTTCCTTTAAACTTTAATAATGTGTGTTCAACTTTTAAAGTGGTCCCATATTCAAACCACTGTTATTTTTTGTACAAATATGTTTGAAGTCACAGTTCTTCATCACTTAAGGTCTATGTAATTTCCAGCTTGATTAGTTCAATGAAAAGTTTTACCACAGATGAATTCCTATAGGTTGGTATGTTAGAAAATTATGATACCACAGTAGAGACAGACATTATTACCCTATATACATGCCTATATACATGTATGATTACATTACTGGTGTGACTCTCTGCACCATGTACAGTCAGAGGAATGAGAGGTTGTGCTCCATTTGTGTGCAGTGTGTCAAAATGCATTCTACTGTCATTTATTAATCAGAACAAATTTTAAAAAAGAAAATTTTGATACCATGTATCTTATTTTTTTACCCCAAAGTCTTCTAACAACTTAAGAGTCCAATCATAGTTAATGAGAATTATAGTATTTCAGTGTTCTTTTTTATTCCATTTAGTAGAATTTTTTTCAGACAGTTATCAAAAGCACTTTTATGGCATTTGTATTTTAAGCTGAGATGACAAAAGTCCTTTCTCTACTAAGCAGTTCTGAATCTAGAATTTAATTTATTCCTCTTGACAGTGTAGGTTAATGCATAGAGTTTTTTTGTATTATTCATTTTATTAAACTTTTTAACCAGTCTCAGAATAAATGAGATTACTGAAACTTTATGATGGCAACAACTTTGTGTATGTATACCTGTGCAAGGAAAAGTTGTTGTTTTTTAAATAGCATGCATAACTGATCAGTTTTCTAGGTGTGAGAACTATACAATGATATTTGCCTACATAGCTCAATTTGGAAAATGTTTACACTCTTTTACTTTACCTTGAAGACTATATTAAATACTCTGATTCAAATATAGTAATTGTCAATATTTGTTTTAAAATAAAAAGGAGAAACAACTAAAGAACAATAAATGTAGTAATCTGTGTTTTTTGTTAACCTTCAAATATACTTTCTATGCTTCATCTTTTATTTTAAACTCACCTATGTTGCATAATAACATTACGTGATCAAAGTCCTAAACTAAATATTTTTCTATAAATGATTTAATATTATACTATGTTCTTATTATAATGCAGTTTGAGTGGGTATATCACTTCTTCAATGGATAAATGGTTCTAGAAAACCAGAATAGAGAGTAGCATGTGTTATCAGGATGGTGAAAACTTTTCCAGTAATAAGAACATATGCTTGTTTTTCCTATATCAGTGAGTAGATTATAGATCTTGCTCTAGCAACCTAGCCATTTTGATTTAAAGCCTTAAAGAAATTAGATCATACTGTTAGGTGTGCTAAGTTTTAGGTAGCATTTCAAATAATGGGTGTTAAAGTCTTTAGTGTTCATAGACGATGTTCACCAAATGCTTTTCCTTCATTTGTTATATCCTACACCAGTGCTTAATTGAACATCCTTTAGGAAACTGCCCTAGGGGAATAAATGAGGGTGAACAACTTGCCAATACTGAAATTGCCCTAGACTTTTAGAACTTGTTTCTGCCACACGATCAAGCTTATTTCACTTGTGCTGTTCAACAGGTCATGCCAATTTATAAGGGTAACAAGTATTCCTTTTTAAAAAATATTCTCTGGAATCTATATGAGTGAAGTATTAATTAGCTGACATTGACATAGTCAATTTATATTTGTCCTCAAAGTATGTCTCTAAGGAAAAGTCAATTTTTGTAGTTAATGCCCACAGGACATTGCCTTGAACCTTTAGGTCTGGTTTAAATTAAGCCTTGTGAATTTCTAGTATATTAATATCAAATCTAAAAGAAGTCATGAAAGCGATTTAAAACAGACTTTATATTACTATGCTAAATCTAAATCTGTTTACTTTTTTTTTGGTTTCACTTTCCATATTATCTACATAAATCAATATTTAGCTTTATTTATTTTGTAATCTGCTAGCATTTATGAAGCAGCCTGTTAGTGCAAAGAATACCAAACCCAGTGTCAATGAAATAAAATGTAATTAAAAAATTGAAATGACTTTATCTGTACTAATGTCTAATAAAGTTACTATTTCATAGAGGCTTTTTTGGGGGGGGGTGTCTTTGTTTTGTTTTATATATGAGTCTGTTGCAGTAACCATGCCTCTTCAGATACTTTTGGAGTTTTTTGTTTTGTTTGCAGTTTGTTTTGGTGTTTGTTGTTTTGCTCATTGTTTGTAGATTAAATATCTTAACACCTTCTAGCTTCAATGTACTGATTTTGTTTTTTACTTTCTCATATTGCTCATTATTTTCATTTCTTAAAAAAATAATAATAAATGCTAGCAATCTTCATAACCTGAAGTTATATAAAAGCTTTCTGTTTTATTGAGTCTTCTGTAGTCTATATCATGTGTAGTCCATTCTTCCTCTGATTACCACAGTTTTAAAAATTTTAGTTATTATTTTTTCTTTTAATAAAAAAATATAAAGGGATCCATAACAATAGTTATATCAACATTAGGTAACCAATAAGAATAACTTGATAACGTTGTCAACCTGTACAACCTTTTTTCAGGCAGATATACTTTTTGAGGTATTAAAATTAAAATGGCACATTGACTACAATTACTACCTTTCTAAACCTGTAGGATATAAGAATCTCAGGTTAGAAATCACTGGTCTGGGGGCTGGGTTTGTGGCTAAGCGGTAGGGTGCTCGCCTAGCACGTGAGAGGCCCTGGGTTCTATCCTCAGCAACACATAAAAATAAATAAATAAAATAAAGGTTAAACAAAGAAAAAAAGAAATCACTGGTCTGGTCATGAGTTTCCCTTATAATCTTGCTTTCCTTTTCCTGGTATCAGTTCTGCAGACCAGTGCAACTGTGGTTTACATTATGGTCACTGTAATTTTTACTTTCCTTACTCTGCTTTTTGCTTATGCTATTATTCTGTTTTCTTGGAATTTTCTCTCATTTTTTTCTGTGCCTATCTCAATTTCTTCAGATCAGTTTTACAAATTATTTCCAGATTTCCTCAGCCTGAAGTATTGTCTTCTGTCTCTACTCAAATTGTAGTGTTTGTTCTATAGTTGGTATAGCAATAAATGTCCTGTAATATTCTTATTGTTCTCGTAAGTCTCTTATTATTATTTAACATTCCCATGTCTTGTTTTCCCAACTAGATTATAAACTCCCTGAGGGCAGGTATGATATTTTCCATTTCTTTGTGTTTCTCCATTGCATTTAGCACAATATTACATAGCCTATAGACATCAGCTTATTGATATGGTTTGATTTTAAATATATTTTAGATTTTTGTTTCAAGTGAATGAGCATTTTTAATTAAAACCTAAACACCTGTTTGCTTTGCGTCATATATGTGTTTTCATTTAATACCCCGTAATCTTTGGCAATTAATTGCTTTAGGTTACTAATTTTGTGGCTTTTCCATAACCAATTTTTAATCCCAGTTGGTATAGTTCTTGGCAGCCTTGTGCCCTAACATTTGTGTTCCTGTGTATAAAATAATCATAATATTAGTCTGAATAAAATGTTTGGGAGGTAAGTTACTGTAAGCATAAGATATATTATAAAATCAAACACAAATGAATGTGGAATTGTCCACATCTTTGCTTTCCACATCTAGTAGTATAGATAATTTCCAGTAGTATAGTCATTTAAGCTCACTTAAAACAATTCTTCCTGAAACCAACAAAATTCCTGTTTGCTTTTAAAGATATGATAAACAACTAAATTCAGAAAATTCTTTCATCATGACAATTTTAAAATTATGTTATTTGGATATTTGTGGGTAGTATATAATATTATTCATGATTCATTAACTGCTGTATAGTTTTGGAAGTTTGTTGCAGTTTCCTTAAACTTGTTTAATTTGTGTTTAGAAGCCACAGAAGAAGTTTCTTTGGACAGCCCAGAAAGGGAGCCAATACTCTCCTCGGAACCTTCTCCTGCAGTCACACCTGTCACCCCTACTGCACTCATTGCTCCTAGAATTGAATCAAAGAGTATGTCTGCTCCTGTGATCTTTGATAGATCCAGGGAGGAGGTATATAAAAGTGTTCATATTTTAAATTAATATGTAAATTGTACCTTTTTTTTTTTTGCTCCTCACTTAACATCATATCACTGTATTATTTTAGTAGTCATTCCTAATCAAAGCCTTTTAAACCTATTAGAAAAAGAATATAGATTAAAGAAGTTGAAAGATCTTGATTCTGATTTTATCGCTACCACTTTTTTTTTTTAACCCAGTAACTTGGGCATATTATTTAACCTTCTTAAGTAGTTTGTCATTTGTGATTTTTTTAAAAAATATTTTTAGTTGTAGATGGACACAATTACCTTTATTATTTTATGTATTTCTATGTGGTGCTGAGGATCAAACCCAGTGCCATATATATGGTAGGCAAATTTTCTACCACTGAGCTACAACTCCAGTCCCGGCATTTCTGATCTTAATGATGAAAATGTGTGCCTCTGAGGACTCTTATGTTGGTCAGGTAATATATGAAAGTACTTTGAAAACTGTTAATCACAGTAAAGTGGTATTTTGAGTAATTTTATTTGTAAAAGAATGTAATAAATAAAGTTGGTACTTAAGAGTTGTTATGTAGCATTTATTTTTAAAAGGAAGGACTATAAATCAATTGAAGATGCAATCTCATGTTTTGGCAATAATTTTTGTTAAGATGCATTTGGAAAAGGAAAAAAAATCATGGAGTGGAGGTTATTTAAGTGACAAAATTACATATTTAAAAGTCATCCACATAGGCCAGATACAGTGGCACACTCCTATAATCACAGCTACTCTAGAGACTAAAGGAGGAGGATCACAATTTTGAGACCAGCCTTGCTCGTCAACCTATCAAGATCCTGTCTTAAAAATAGAAAAATAAAAAGGACGGGGGATGTAGCTCAATGATAGAGTGTCCTCTGATTCTATCCCCACCAAAAACAAAGCTAAAAAAAGTCATTCTTAAAGAAATAGATCATTTAAATGACCACAATTAAGTAACAACCACATACCCACAAGCAAAAATGTGAATGATCTAACAAGTATAATATTAAGGGAAATAAGACAGAAATGAGTACTTATACATGATTCCATGAAATGAACTTTTAAAAGAAAAAAAAAAAGCTAGTGAACAGAGTTAGAAGTCAGGATAGTAGTTATATTGGTAGGGCGAAGAAAAGATTGACTATAGGAGAATGTAAAAGGGCCTTCTGGACTGATTCATAGTGTTTTTTTCTGACCTTGGTTGAGTTTAGAAAGATGTATACGCTTTATGAAAGTATACTGAGCTGTACCAATTTATATACTTTTCTGTATGTGTTATAATTCAAAAAAGTTTTACTTAAAAAACATACAAGAGGGCTGGGGTTACAGCTCAGTAGTAAAGTGCTTGCCTACCCAATATGAAGCACTGAGTGTGATCCTCAGCACATCATAAAGATAAATAAATAAAATAAAGGTATTATGTCTATCTACATCTAAAAAAATATTTTAAAAAATATACAAAAAGGCAATCATTGAAGAAAAGATTTCAATTAGAAAAACTCAACTTTTTTATGGATAGATTGTTATTGCCTTGAAAATTTTGCTAAGTTAATAATCTCAGACCTTTTTTATAATAACAAAGCTTTCTTGCAGAACTGCTATCCAGTTGCTTTATAACAGCATTGAAAAGGTCTTTTCTACAGTCTTATAGGGTTATCATTTTTTTCTACTGTCTGCTTTTTAAAATTGAACTTTATAGTTCTTTTAATGGCTTCAAGAGGAATGTGTCTTCACTTGGTATTTAGAAAAATCACAATGCTAATGTTGCTTTTAGGTATAATAATTTTTTTGCAAGTATGTAAGATTCTACTGGTGAAAGTAATGACTATCTCCTAATTATTTAGAAACAGCTCTAAGTTGAAGAAATACTTAAAAATAAGGAGTTAATAATTTTAAAAGTATGAATACAAAGATTCAGTATATTGGACAAAAAAAATTCCACAGTTTTTGTGCAGAAAGTGAAAATATTTTTTCTACATCTGAGGAATTTTTGAAGACACGAGATTTTTGCATTACTTCTCCAAATAATCCTTATCCTGTTATTTGTATATTTTATTCTGTTTCTTTATATAATCAGGAAATGTGAAAGCTTTTACTGTGTTTTTTTTTTCAGTGACTTCTTAAAATATTTTATGACACCCTACTAGAACATATATGGTAAAAACTATAGTTCTTAGTGTTATGACAATAATATAAATTGGAATCTTCTTTAGCACAAAAAGTAATTATTCTTTTCTAGATTGAAGAAGAAGCAAATGGAGATATTTTTGATATAGAAATCGGTGTGTCGGATCCAGAAAAAGTTGGTGAGTCAATATTAATTATATTTTGTACCTGTTTTATTAGTTTGACTGTTATGCCCCCCCCCTTTTAACTAAATATGTCATTACAGTATTAAAATGGTACTGTTTTTAAGCATGTGGTTTTAAAAATAATATTTGACTTATAGGTGATGGCATGAATGCTTACATGGCATATAGAGTAACAACAAAGGTAAGCCTTTGACTCTTTTAATAAAATATTGACCCCTTACTATATATAGTAGAGGATATGACAGTGATTATGGTTGACATGAACCCTGTCTTTGTAAAGGCTATCTTTACATAAAAATTGCTAAGAAATTGTTACAGTGAGTTGTAAGTAATTTCATAGGTTGAGTGTTCTGTTTGAGTATGCAGGAAGGGAATTAATCTAGACCCAAGGGTCAGGAAAAACTTCTGAGCAAAGTAATATCTAAACCAAGACAAATATGAGGGGAGTGATTTGTGGGAGATGAAAAGAAAGTAGTAGAATGTTTGTTGCAGGCATAGGAATTTGCTGGTGAAAAATCTAAGTAATGAAAGCATTGTGTTTTCTAGGATCTGTAAGAAGTGGTTCATAATTGAATTGTTTGGCCATGAGCTTTCATGTTTTATGAGCAGCACATATAGGAATTTGGGTTTCATCTTAAGTATAATGGAAAACCATGAAAGAGGTTTAAGCAAGAGTATAATACTCTTAGATTTTTGTTTTAGAGAGATCTCTGTGGCCTCGATATGAATTGGAAGGGTCAAGGTAGAGGTCAGGATTGCCAGTTAAGAGGCCACTACTATTATTAAATTATCACATCTTAAAATAGAGTGTTTTGCAGCAGTCCCAGGTATAAGAAATAATGATTGACACTAAGGACATGGTTCTGGAAGTGAGAAAAATAAATGGCTTCTTAGTCCTAGATGTAAGGAATAAGAAGAGGGATACCTAAGTTACTAAATAGAGGAACTTTGTAATTGTGAAAGTGATCTCTCTAAAAAGATAGGTAGGGAGGAACAAAGTGAGTGTGAGATAAGATTTGTTAATTCGGTAAACAAATGTTTATTAAGCACTTTACTATGGTGTCAGCCTCTGTTACAAGCAAGAAGTATATTAGTATTAGTTAACAGTATAGTCAAGTGCTCTTTTTTTTATGGAACTTGTGTTTGAGTAGGGGAAAATATAGTGAGTTTGAGATGTCAGTGAGATTTAAGTGGAGATGTCCCTTAGGCATTTTGGAAATATTTGGACTGAAACTTAGAAGGAGATCTGTGCCAGAGGTAAAGATTTAAAATTCATTAACGGAACCAATCATTTGGGTTTTGTTGTTGTTGTTGTTATTTTGTTTTTTGAATTGTTAGAAGTCTATGTACCACATTAGATACTCTACGTTCTTTTGCAAAGGAGAGCAGTGTGTGTGTGTGTGTGTGTGTGTGTGTGTGTGTGTGTGTGTGTTCTTAATTATTTATAGCATTAAATTCTGAATAATTCTGTACTTTTCAAAATTTGAAATACTTCTTCTTCACTTTTAGACTTCTCTTTCCATGTTCAGCAAGAGTGAATTTTCAGTTAAAAGAAGATTCAGTGATTTTCTTGGTTTGCACAGCAAATTAGCAAGCAAGTATTTACACGTTGGTTATATTGTACCACCTGCCCCGGAGAAGAGTATAGTAGGTAAGCATGAGTAAGCAAAAAAAATCCCTTTTAACTGTATACATTTATGCATTCCAGAATCATTCATTACCACCATCTCAGTTGTGGAGATAATTGTAATTTAAATGTTCTATTATGATAATTGTGCATTTATTATATAAGAATATAATATTATTATATAAGAATATATAGCTAGTAGTTTTATTTTCTAACACCTACGGGTTCAGGTTTTGAATATTGGGTTAAAATTTACCAAGTTGAAAGCAGTTACAAACTGTAACCTTTTAGGGGAAGTAGAATACCATTTTACTGAGTCACACTCAGAATACTTAATGTTATTAATATATTAACAAATTTCAAAGAGGTGGAGGTATTTAGACCTTAGCTTTATATTGTCCAAAAAGAACATTTGAGTTAGCCTTGCTTATATAAAAACTATTTAAACTTATCTTAGTTTATTTTATACCTCAATTTAATATTTAAAAACTATTCCATTTATACCAGTAATATTTAGTTAAGAAAATGCAGAAAATTTAAAAAGAAGAGGAAAACCTTCATTTCTTAAAATTTTTTAGTATTGGACTGGGGTTGTGGCTCAGTGGTGTAGTGCTTGTATAATATGTGTGAGACTCTAGGTTTGATTCTCAGCACTGCATATAAATAAATAAAATAAAGGTCCATTGACAATTAAAAAATATTAAAAGAAAAAAATCAAAAACAATTTTTAAGTATTATCCAGTCGTTTTTCAGTCCTTTTTTTTCTTACTTCAACTTTTCTTTATACTTGAGATGATTACTCTGAAAAATATTTGAAATGAATTTTGCTGATTTTTAAATTATTGGTTTTTACTTTTTTAAACATTTGATTTGAAAAGCATGTTTTTTTAAAAAAGGTTATTATTATTTTTTAGTTGTCATGCATTCGAGGCAAGCACTCTGACACTGAGCTACAGCCCCAGCCCTGAAAGCAGTTTTATTGATATCATTCATTTGAAACCTGATGAGTTTGTAATATATTTTCTGTCTTTTAAAATTCATAAACCTAGTTGAGTAATTCTTCAACTTTTTGTTCTCAAGAACCCTTTATTTCCTTTCTCTTTCTTTCTTGCTTGTTTGCTTGCTTTCTTTCCTTTCTCTTCTCTTCCTTTCTCTCTTCAGTGCTGGGGATTGAACCCTGGGCCTTGTGTATATTAAGCAAGCACTTTATTACTGAGCTGCATTCCTAGGCCCTACATTCTTAAAATTTATTAAAGAGTCTTAAAAGAGCATTTGCTTATGTGGGCTACATCTGTTGATACTTACTGTATTTGAAAAAAATTATTTAATCTTATTTATTTAAAAGTAATAAACTTACTTTATATTACACTAAATTTGTGAAAGAAATTTTATGACAAAAACATTTAATAAGACAAAAAATTTAAAAACTTTTTGTAAATTCTAATTTCTACCTTAATAGAAAAATAGCTTTGTTCTTCTGAGCTTCTATACTCATTTATTGTGATATAACACATTAGCTAACCTTTATAAAATTCCACTCTGGACACTCATTAAAGTGAACAACAAAAGGTAAACAGTTTAATATTATTATAGGGACCTTGTAGTCTCTAAAACCCTCTAGATATTCTGAACTAAGGAACTTAGGAAACTAAGATTAATCAAGGTTATCCTACATGCCAAAAGTCATATAACATGGCAGAGCTGAATTTTCTTATTTCTCAACTTATACTCTTAACCACAATTCTATTTTGCCTCCTACTTTCAATTTGATTATTTCAATAGGATAATGATTTGCTTATTTCTTGCTTTTTAATTTTTTTAATTTGTTTTTGTTCTTTACCTAAAAATAAAACTTTTATGTATTATTTTGTCTGTGGCAGGAGATTGAACCCAGGGCCTTGTACATGCTAGGCATGCACTCTACCACTAAGCTATACTCCTAGCCCCATCTTTCTGTTTATGTAACCCCCCCCCCCCCCGTGGTGCTGGGGATTAAACCCAGGATCTTGAGCAAGCACTCTACCAACTGAGCTCTATAACTTTTAATGCTATATTATTGTAGAATTGTCTAAAAGACATTTAAAGTAGATTTAAATTGCTTAAAAATTATTTATATACTACTTCATTCAAGAAAAGGATTGAGGCAACTACATGTAATAATGAAAATGTATATCAATAAAGAAATTAGCAGGGAAAATATAGTCAAGAAATGTAGGATGAATCCAGGTAAAACAATTTTTTCCTAAAATATTGAACAGTTATTAAAGATAGGTGACAAATTAATCTTTGAACTTTCTGGCAGCCAGCCAGCACAGTATCTAGTCATTTTATAAATGTCTTGTTATTTATTAACTTTTAAATAAAAATGAATATATTGTCTAAGAAAAATTAAAAGACGGTTTTAATTACATAAACAGTGTTTTTCAAGTATTAAATAGTGGAATAAGAGTAGTTACTTTTTGCCAAGAAGTCATTGCACATAACCATTGCCACTTAATAGGACCTCATTTGACTAAAAAATACTATTCTATATAAACTATTAGAAAAACAAGTTGAAAATTTTAAGAGTGAACCAATTAAGATAAATTGTTGTTTTATTTTCCCACAATGTTCCATAATGGTTGCCTTTACGGATGAGAGGATAAATGAAGAAAAAAAGAAGCAAAGAATTACATAGTTGTGGGATTTTTTTATGCGTATATAAAATATCTGAAATAATTAACATCCCATATGCAGTACACAAGGTCCATAATTTCAATTGTCTGAGTTTTCTTTTTCAAACCTTTATATTTTAATGAGATTTTTAGAAACAAAACATTAATGGTGGTATATGATAATTATTCACCAAATATATCAACCTGAATAAGCATTACATAGTTTTTTATAATATGTTTTTAAAGATGCTAATGTACTGTCCTTCTCTGCGGATTTGCCTGTTCAGGATTTTTTATATAAAGGGAATCATGCAATATATGGTTCTTGGTGATGGGCTTCATCTATTTACTATTGTTTTTTCATGATTCTTCCATGTTATAGCTTGTATCAGTACTTCATTTCTTCAGAAAACATGTTTGAAAGGAAAAGAAATGGTGGGGGATCTGCAGCCTAATATGTTAACATTAAAGTTGACAATATAGAAATAATTAACATTTTTGGTTTTTTTGTTTTCTTTTGGTGCTGGGAATTGAACCCAGTGCCTCCACATGCTAAGTACATGCTCTACCAGTTAGCTACATCCCAAGCCCAATTAACCTGATTTTTATTTTCAAAATTTGATGTGTTCTAAATGTCTCTGTGAATGTGCTTATTCTTTCAACTGTTAGGAAACATGTCATGTGCTAGTTGTGAGGGCATATGCCTATAGTCCCAGCTATTTGAGAGGCGAAGGTAGGAGAATTACTTGAGCTTTAGGAGTCCAAGGTCAGCCTGAGCAATATCAGTGAGACCCTGCCTAAAAACAAAGTTTTGATAAATAAACAAGAACATACTCTTTGAATCTGAGTCAGGGGAAAATTTAGTAAATTCATGGGTTATGTTTATCTTTATTTACATCATCCTGAAAGTAAAGAGCCTTATTTATTGCTCATAATTAATTGCCTTAAAGATTCCATAATGCACATTATAATGTAAAAACTTTTGAATTTACCAGGAGTGTAAAATATTGCAGATAAAGAACTTTTTGATGTAAGTTTTTGTATAAATAATCAGTACGGGTCAAGAAACTACAAATAGCTCATTTTCTGTTTTATCTGTTCTCTCGTGTCCTAATTATTTATTTACCAAGTAGAAATGTTAGCATATCATGAGATTTAATTTTTCAAAATGTTTTGCTTTTTAAGTAACATAGCAATTACCAACTTAGAAGCTTTTTTTGTTAAGTTCAAATTCAAAATATATTTTAAATTGTGAAGAAATGGTCATAAAAGACTTTTTCACGGTAAAATCATCTCAACTCTCAACTTCTTCAAAGGTATGACCAAGGTTAAAGTAGGTAAAGAAGATTCATCATCCACAGAGTTCGTAGAAAAACGGAGAGCAGCTCTTGAAAGGTAATTCTAGATAGTAATACTTCATTACTCTCATAAGTTTAATTTATTACTTATGACACAACTGTATTTTAATGTTTATTTTTTTAACTACCACTTGATGGCTCTTAAGAGTACTTTAAACTTTTAAAAATTGCTTCTTTTAGCAGTACAATAATGTATTTGTTGTGATTCTATTAATCCTCATGAATAGTGTAACAAAATAACATCTGTTTTGCTTCAAATGCTGTAAGCAGGAATATAAATATATGAGTTAAATGAGGATAGAATTATATCATAGATGTAGATACCAAGGCACTAAGAAACTTCTAGACTTGTAAAGGAAAACATGGTAGTTGTGATTAGGGATAAAGAGTTGATAAAATGTTTGGATAGGCCTGAGGATGTAACTCAGTAATAGAGTTCTTGCCTAGCATGGGTGAGGCCCTGGTTTAAATCCACAACACTACAGGAAAAAAAAAAGGTTTGGGTAAAAATAATCCCACTTTGGTAATTAGATTCTTAGGAAGTTATAGCATATATGGTATGAACATTATTCAGTACAATGAAAATTGCAATGTGTTCCCCTTACTTTTGTGTATTTTTTCCTTCCATGCTATGCTAAAAATGAAAAAACAAATTTGAAACTATCCTTGACTTTTCAGAACCTATCATGGTAATTACTTCCCTTTTAGCTTAAAATCAGTATTGTGGTAGGTAGGACAGGCTTTAAGGATACACACACACATACACCACAACCCCCACCCCCACCCCAGGGTACAAATTATTTTTTTAAACTATTTTCAAGGCAACTTATTTCTTGTGTTTAGTAATAAATTGTTCACATTTTTTAAAAATGCCATAGAAAAGACAGGTTTAAACAGCATGCAGTAAGAAAAACTAAAGAATATGCAATTTTAAAATCTTATGCTAGAGAACACTAGAAGGTAGAATTGTATTTATGAAATCAGCAATTCCCCAGAAAATTGAAATTGCAGAAGTTTAGGTTGGCCATTAGAATTGATTGTATTGTAGGTAGGGGATACAGACAGAATATTTTTAAGAATAAAGGTACATAATGTTCTGCCTTGATTTCACTTAGTCCTTCCTGAAAGTGTAACCATGACCCTTTGAGAAACCTTTCAAGTCTTATTTTTCTATGAGTAAATTTGAAATATTTCAGGTGGCATGCTTGATAAGGAACTTAATGAAGATTTATTGTACCAAGGACATATAATTTATTTTTACATTCTACTTTCTTCTAACTTGATGGCATTAAATAGTACTTAGCATACCTCTATGTAGTATAAAACATTCCATGTATATATTCCATGTAGCATAAAACACTTAGTATAACATATAAGGAAAAGTCGTTCCTCTAGAAAAAAATGACTACAGAAAATATAAGCATAAACATACAGAAGCAAAGGAATTCATTTCTTTAGCTTTACCCTAATCCCATTTCTTCTGTCATAACCAGTTTTATTCACTTCTTGAACACAGTTTTATAATGTGTACAAGATTTTAAAACTGCATTTTTTTACCCTTTTATATATCTGACTTATAAAAGTGATTTTCAAGTGACATTTTAAAATTTTTAAACATTAGAGCAGGCCTCTAGTAATCAGGGAAGTATTTCTTTGTGTTTCACTTTATTTATTTAGTTTAGAGAATCCTTGATGACTATTTTTAATGAAAAAGTAAACATCTGGTATTACAAGTTAGGAAGAGTGAAATAGCCGAGTACCACTCTATGCCATATTCGATAAAGTAAGCAGAGACTACTTTATTAAAAGTATACCTAAGATAGCTTGCTTGATTTTCTTAAGAGTACTTTGTACCTTATCTTAACATATAGTGAATTTATTTGATAGGTAAGAATACACTTTGGCAAATATATGCTTAGAAATTTGGAGGAGCATAATAATAGCATACAAGATTTATAATTCATTTTGTAATTCAAGTCTATACTGTTCTACACTCTGTGATCTTGGGCAAGTTACTTAAATATAACCTTTCTTAACTTTAAGTGAATCAGAATTGTGTTTGTCTCAAGAACCTAAAAACCCAATTGGCAAGGTCTAAGAAGTTAGTATAGATTAGTTAATCCACTCTTTCATATTAAGAAATTTGGAGATAGGAAGCTGTTCAGAATTATCTAATTCATCAGGGAATGCTAGTGCTTCCATCTGATATCTGGAACATAACCATTTCTCATTAGTCTAGTGACTACTGGCCCAAAGGTCTTAATTAACTGCAGTAGTTTCCTAATTGGTCTCATCACTTTCATCTTTGGCAGTTCTACTTTTTTTTTCTTTTCTTTTTTTTTTTTTTCAAATATAGCAGCTAGCATAATTCTTTAAAAACATAAATCAGATCATATTAATATCTGATTTCAATCAATATAAGTCAAAGTCCTTATAACAGACTCCCAAGTTTTCCTGACCTGTATTTCCCACTCTGTTATCTATTTGATCTCATATTTTCCTTGATCACTCACTGTGCTCTGGGCCACACTGATCTTTTTGCACTCCAGGGATTTTCCTACTTCAAGTCTTGTACTCACTCTGCCTAGAATGCTTTTGTTTTGTTCTTTAGGCATCTGCATGCTGACTCCCATCCCTTCTTCAGTTGTTAATGTTTGCTTGAAGTCTGTTCTGATCTTCAGCTTCATTCTGACCTCTTTAAATTGCAACCACCATGTCTTATACCTTTGGTTCTGTGTACCTTGTTTTACCCTTTCTTTTTTATAGCACTTGCTGCCTTTTCAAATCCTACATAATTTATGTTTGTTATATTTATAGTTTGTCTTTTTCTAAACTCTTAAGTTCCACTGGGGAAAACATCTCAGTGTGTCTTGTTGAATGATGTATTTCAGGTACCCAGAACAATACCTAACATATAGTAAGTGCTCTGTAAATATTTGTCGAATGAACAAATGAATGTCATTCAAGACCCAGACTCTTTCTGCCTTTCTATTCTCATCATTAACACTTCTCTTCTTTTTTTTTTTCTTTTCTTTTCATTCTGTTTTTTGGTTTTGGTTTTGGGGAGGGGAATGCTAGGGATTGAACTCAAGGCTTCTCTTCATCCTTTTTTTATATTTTTATATTTATAGCTTTCTCTGATATTATTTCTGAATTGGTGTATATGTATGAATGCTTATTGTTTTAAAATCCAGTTTACACTTCTGTTCTCAATTATAACATGATATAAGCTATACATATATTTTTAGTTAGTTGCTCTTTCCTTAAAAAAGAAGGAAAAGTTTTACTGTTCTTTTCTAGAATATAATTTTCCAAAACTGATTCCTCAGAAAGCTAATAAGTGGTAGGATGAAAAATGGGATCTATAGTCAACAGAGTTTTATTAACACAGGATTTAACAGTTATACCAGGTTTATTTCCTATTGGACTTAGAGCACCAACTTGATACCAGTCAATATGAATCTTAAAGGTGTATGTATGTATTATATTTCAAACATTTTTAGAATTAATCTTTTTGATGGAGTATTTCATGGGACTAGTAATCACTTTGGAAAACTATTTCAGAATATAGGTAGCATTAGATATTTTCATTTAGGGTGAAATGTTGAAGTGTTCTTAAAGATTAAGTATCAGATGTTTTGTCTTCCTTTCTGCTTGTTCATTTTACAAATATGTAATTGCCTGTTATTTGCCAGCACTAAATTGAACAACTTATGCAAACTGCCTTTAGGTAATACACAGTACAAACAATTAAAATAATTTCTTTAATAGAGTTGGGAATTTCATTATTAAAATTATAAGTCAAATTCTAGTGGGATGATACCAACTTATTTTAAACTTTAAAGTTAATGTTCTCACTGCATTTTTCTTTTGGCTGTATTATATAAGCAATAAAATTCTTTTAAACCACATATCTACTAAATGATCTGTTTCTAGCATAATAACTTCTTATGTGAACTACCAATTTATAATGAAGCTTAATATGGTATATGATTTACATAAATGTGTAAAGACAGATTAACATTTAAACATTGATAAAATAATTACGATTATTGTATAGAGTTTGGCTGTGGAGAAAGAGACTAAACAAGAATTATAGGTATGTGTTACTGCACCCAGAGCTAACAGTGATTTTGATAATAATGTTTCTCTATTGTTTTTTCACTTCTACTTTATATATCATATTTACAGAAGTATCAAAAACTTAAAAATACAATTATTAAAGAAACTTTAGTTGTGTGCCAGAGTTGATTGTGTAATTTAAATCTGTTAACAAGCAAAACATTGGTAGACTGTTTTGAATTTTGGTAATGATAGCAATTACTCTTGTTAAGTTTTTAAAAAATGTGTGTGTTTCATATATGTAAAATATAGAAATATGTATCTTAGGACTCTAAAATTATAACTGAAAACAATATTAACTGTATCTAAATATGAAATTATTAAACTCATATAACCTTTTAAATTCTAATACTTTATAGTAAGAAGTTTGATAAATGATTTAACCACTTCCCACTTTTATCCTTACCCTCTGCTATTTCTTACTTAATTATGAAAAAGGAATTATATCAATTTTTTAAAGATTAACAAAAAGCTTTTTAATTAGTAGAATGTTAAAAGATTCTAATTAATTATAGTGAGAGTAGACTAATAAGGGGCAGACTGAGGACACCTTTTTACTGCATTTTAAAATTTTTATTTTGTTGAAATACAATTTAAAATACTAATAAAGGGAGAAATTGTATTCTTAAATCTAGGTATCTTCAAAGAACAGTAAAACATCCAACTTTACTACAGGATCCTGATTTAAGGCAGTTCTTGGAAAGTTCAGAGGTATTTTTTCTGCTTTACATTTTTGTATATGAAGTTTCTCATTTGTATTTATCATTATAATTTATATAAGAATAATCAGTAAATAATTGGATTAATAGATGAAATAAGGCAGTGAGTTTTTTTCATCTAATGAATTAATTACTTAACTAAATTACTAGCAAAATAGTTTCTTTAAAGTTGATATTTATAGGATGATCAGTCCCTTTCTTGAAAATTTAAAACCAAGTTGAACAGAATGATTTATAAACTAACTTCAAATGCCGTAAGTTGTTAGTTAGGTATCTTGTTGAAATAAATTTATTCAGACTTCATTTTTAGACAAAGTTGAATATGTGTCTGCATTCTAATACCTTTATTAAGGTTTCAAAATGCAAATGTGTAGTTTGAAAAAGCCTGAATTACAACCATGCTACTCTTTATATTTTGAGATGTTTGGTACATTTTGGGCTTTTAATAACAGTTAAGAATTCTAATTGTTAGTGCTTGAGGTTTTTTTTTAAGGAATTGTCTCAGAATTTTTTAAAAACTCAAAACCGCATGATCCTGAACATAAGGAGATTTTTCTCAAGACTTTCTTCTTTTCTTATAAGCAGCTTATTTCTGCTAGCAAACAGGTGGCCAGTGTTAGGATACTTGGCAATTTCTTAATATATTTTGACAAATGGTGTTTGTTCCATCTAAATGTAAACGTACAGAAGAAAAGCAAATGGAAAGTCTATTTTTTAAGTTTTCCTTTGAGAATGTACAAGTAGTGTATTTGAGAAATTAGATCTCACTATTGAAATGTATGAGAGTGAAGAAAATACAGCCTCTTTTTTTTTCTTTTCTTCTTTTTTTTTTTATTTTAGGAAGGGAGGGATCCCTTTTGTGCCCAGTTAAACCTCTAGGCTTTTAACCGGTTTGTTTGCCCTTATTTGTCATTCAATTCCAGCTGCCTAGAGCAGTTAATACTCAGGCTCTGAGTGGAGCAGGAATATTGAGGATGGTGAACAAGGCTGCGGACGCTGTCAACAAAATGACAATCAAGATGAATGAATCGGATGCAGTAAGAGCTGATTTTTCGACTTGAATAATGAGATGAATTAATGAGCCCAACAATTGCATTTTAAAGCTGTACAAGTAGAAAATAGGATATTAATTTGCTTATTGAGTTTAGTTCTCAGCCACATCAGATGACCACCATGGTTATATACGGTTAATTTGTTGCTTTAAAACAAGGAATGTAGCTTGGTATTGGTAACCTAATTTACAGTGGTTTGTTCTTCCTAAATTAACCCCATTTTTCATTTTTTTTCTTAGTGGTTTGAAGAAAAGCAACAGCAATTTGAGAATCTAGACCAGCAACTTAGGAAACTTCATGCCAGTGTGGAAGCCTTGGTCTGTCATAGAAAAGGTTTGTTTACTTTGTTGCTTGTATGTTTACCATCATAAAACTAATGAAAATATTTTATTTAAATTTTACTAAAAATGCATATTCTGAAGTTATTAAAGAAGAGAGAAATAATAGTTTAAGAGTGCCTTCTGTTTTAATTTCATTACTAAAAATTTTGTTTTATTTTTATCTAACTTCTGGTTTAGGTATAGAAGCTCATATAAAAGTATATTTGAATTTTGGATGAAAACTATTATTCATTTGATTAATTCCTTGTTGATGTATTTACAGTTTAACAGATGAAGTTGTCTCATTGGTAACTTTAATTATATTTAAAACATGAGAGATTCCAAAATTGGTGTTTGAAAATTTTCATGAAAGTATTTGTTTTCTGCCTCTATTTCCTGGAAAACATTTTGAAGTATTTTCTTCGTTTTCAAACGAAAGTATTTAAAAATATGAGGTTTTTGTTTTTGTTTTTGTTTCTTTGGCTGGCGTGGGGCATAAAACTTCCCATAAGTTGTAAGTTTTTAATCCACAATGAAGTGGGTTTTTTTGGTGGGGTGGGGATATGTTAATTTTAAAGATATCGAGGCTTTATCAGTTTTCCAAAATATTTAATAAGTAATTTAGTATGTGACATTACTAGTAATACATTTTGTTAAGATAATTAACAGAAACCTACTAATACATTTTTTATTGAAAGTATTTTGTCACAGCTTTGTCATTTGTATTACACATGTTTTAGGGAATGGGCTATGAAGGTTCTTTTAGATTCTGTACAATGTAGAGTAACAACAATTTTCAGGCAATGTAATTGCTAGTTGTTGGTAGCATCCATCCTGTAAATTTTTTTTAATTGAAATATCCAAAATGGTCATGCGAAAAATCTTTTTCAGAAATTCTATTTTACGGAAAATTATTGCATAAGAAAGAAAAAAAGACAAAGGTGGACATGAATTGTATCTACAATTCTACCTTATTTTTCTTTGATTAGCTAAATAATATTCTCATTAAAAATTGCAGACATTATTTTCAGTGACATGTTTAAAGGCCAAAGAATGTAGTATAAATCAATCATAACCTTAATGCTTCACTTATTAAAAATGCATTTCTTATGTTTTTTAGGAATGGACAAAGAATGAGTATTTGGGGGAGAAAAGGAAGAAAGATTGTTATATTTTATTTATTTAAATATAGTATATAACCTGAAAACATAAGCAATAATTCTTTTTTTGTTTTCTTTGTTGTTTTTTTCCTTTTTGCAGTGCTGGGAATCAAATCTATGGCCTTGCACATGTTAAGCAAGCACTCTAACACTTAGCTACATTCCCAGTGCCAGCAGTGATTATTAATTTTCAGTAGCTTTGTGAGCATTTTGCACTATTGCTTAAGGCATTTTAGTAACTATTTCTGTTAATTAATTTAAAATATTATTCAGCCAGTTCATCAGTACATAAAATTTGGAGAGACTGTAGAAAATCAATACAATGTTTTATAATTTTACTAACAAATGCTTAAAGTAAGCCCTTTTTTTTTATTTCAGAACTTTCAGCCAACACAGCTGCCTTTGCTAAAAGTGCTGCCATGTTAGGTAATTCTGAGGATCATACTGCTTTATCTAGAGCTCTGTCTCAGCTTGCAGAGGTTGAGGAGAAGATAGACCAGTTACATCAAGAACAAGCTTTTGCTGACTTTTACATGTTTTCGGAACTACTTAGCGACTATATTCGTCTTATTGCTGCAGTGAAAGTAAGCCCTGTTTTGCAGTCTTTCTTGCCTTTGCTTCAGTATAGTTTACTTTAAAAAGAATGTGGTTTCCAATTAGGCATGTATGTAAGTATGTAAATTCTAAATAATACTATACTACACAGAAAAAGACTTTAAACTGTTTTGTAACTCAGTTTATTTATTTTATTTATTCTAATTTGTTATACATGACAAAATATATTTCAATTCATAGTATACATATAGAGGACAATTTTTCATGTCTCTGCTTGTACACAAAATAAAGTCACACCATTCATGTCTTCATATATGTACTTCGGGTAATGATGTCCATATCATTCCATTGTGTTTCTTACCCCCATGCCCACTCCCTTCCTCTCCCTCCCCTTTGCCCTATCCTCCATTCTTTCATTCCCCCCCCCTCCGTTATGGATCAGCATTCTCATATCAGAGAAACCATTCGGCATTTGGTTTTTTGGGATTGGCTTACTTCACTTAGCCTAATATTCTCCACATCCATCCATTTACCTGCAAATGCCATGATTTTATTGTCTTTTATTGCTGAGTAATATTCCATTGTGTATATGCACCACAGTTTCTTTATCCATTCATCTACTAAAGGACATCTAGGTTGGTCCCACAATTTAGTATTGTGAATTGTGCTGCTTTAAACACTGATGTGGCTTCATCACTGTAGTATGCTGTTTTTAAGTCCTTTGTGTATAAACCGAGGTGTTGGATAGCTGAGTCAAATGGTGTGGTTCCATTACAAGTTTTCCAAGGAATCTCCATACTGGTTGCACCAATTTGCAGTCCCACCAGCAATGTATGAGTGTGCCTTTTTCCCCACATCCTCACCAATACTTATTGTTGTTTGTATTCTTGTAACTTAGTTTTTTTTTAACAGAGTTAATATTTTTAAGAGATCTAAGGAAAGTCAGATAAGAGAAAGTACTATATATATTTATTATATATTTCATATTTACAAGTTTGCAACTAACTATTAGCATTTACTTGATCATTCTGCAGTAACTAAAACTACGTACTAGACTCTATTATCATTAGTAAATTAAAGCATATAATAAGAAACAGGATAAAGCCATAAATGATAGTTGAAGTGAATATATTTTGTGGGGTTTTTAGCATGGTTCAAATTCCAGTCAGATTTTCTGTCTGTCTGTTCAAATGTGTAGTCACTATTATCTATAGATGAGATGGGTCTACATTAGATCATAGATTATGTTACCTAATGATAATGTTTAAATATGAATAATAAACTTTCTGAATAGTTGGGAAAGTAATCCAGTTTAACAAAGTACTATTGTATACATATCTTTAGTATTTGAATACTTAAATTGAACATTATTCAGTCTTTCATGTATTGCAAATAATGTTTCATAATAATGTTATGGTATCATGGGCTGGGCTGTGGGGCCGGGGGATCTAGGTATTTACCTTTTACCTTGAATGCAAACATTCTGAAAAAGTACAAAGACCCTGTTCTTTGTTATTTTGGAGGGGTAGGGTGGTAACTGGAGATGGAACTCAAGTACTCAACCACTGAGCCACACCCCCAGCCCTATTTTGTATTTTATTTAGAGACAGGGTCTCACTAAGTTGCTTAGTGCTTCACTTTTGCTGAGGCTGGCTTTGAATTCTCAATCCTTCTGCCTCAGCCTCCTGAGCCATTGGGATTATAGGCGTGTGCCACCTCACCCAGCTTGTTCTTTGTTTTTTAATGCATATTTTGTTCAGCTAAAGTCTGTGATTAAATAATAATTTATCTACAATAAGAATATTGATACATTGCCAACTCATTGAGGATTTGATTTTCAAGATAACATTGACAGTTATTACTAGAAGGCTCTTAGACCAGAATGGTGATTGCTTAGATTTGATTAAATTAGCAATTTTGCTTGTATATGTAGACAACTTTTGATATACAAGTCAGTTTACAGATGATGACTCATTCCTGAACCCCTAACTCTCACCTCCCAGTAGCATGAAGAATGATTGTAAAAGAGTATGTAGGTTAAAAAAAAAAAAAAAAAAGGCAGTCTGTGAGGAATACCTGATAAGAGGTAATCTGGAAAAAGACCCTTGGCAGGGATGGCCTGCCTGTTTTGTTTTCTCAAACAGCTTTCAGCATACTACGTAAGTCTTATGTTACATTTCATAAAATTAATTATATTAGTGGTTTTCAAAATTTTATAGAGCACTGGCACCAAAAGAAGTGCAGTCAGCTAAGTTTGGAAAATAGTAGCATCTCTGCTAAGGAGATTTATAGAGTATATATAAAAGTTTCAGAACTGTCTAGTAAGGAAAAGAAAATAAGTTATTTAATTGTTTGATCCAGAGGCTTTTAAATTCATATGAACAAGAAGTGTTTTTCTGCCAGATGTTGTGATATATACCCATGATCCCATTCAGTCAGGAGGCTGAGGTAGGAGGATCACTGATTTGAGGCCAGCCTCACAACTTAGTTAGCTCCTCAACATCTTAGTGAGACACTGCCTTTAAAAAAAAAAAAAAAAAAAAAAATCCAGGCATGGTTGTGCACGCTTGTAAGCCCAGTGGCTTGGGAGGCTAAGGCAGGAGGATCACAAGTTCAAAGTCAGCCTTAGCAATGGTAAGGTGCTAAGTAACTCAGTGAGACCTTGTCTCTAATAAAATACAAAACAGGGCTGGGGATGTGGCTCAGGGTCAAGTACCCCTGAGTTCAATCCCTAGTTCCAAAAAAAAAAAAATTCAGAAAGCTCCTCTTTTGCAAGTACATGGCTTCTGCTATTTAGGATTACATATTTTAGTTACTATTATTGCAAGCTTTGTTGGGTATTGGACTTCTGAGAGCCATTAGAGTATGGCCAGAGATCTCAGACAATGGTTTTCAATGCTTTTAGCATGAGAATATGTCTTAGTTTTTATGGGAGATCCTAAGTTACAAAATATGTAAATATTTTTAATAGTGTATATAAATACACAAACACGCTATTAATTGTTTCCCAAGAAATTTAAAAGATTTATTGTTTGACTATAAATACTCTGCAACCTTTTAGAACCCTAAGAAATAGGATAGCATACATTCAAAGTCACTGAATTGAAATATTATAAGAATTAATTAAAATTGCAGCAACAAATTTCTTGGTGTGTTTAGAATACTGTGTCACAGCTACAGCCTTGATTGACCTAGACTAGCTTGCAAACAAAAATATTCCATAAATTGGCACAGGATGGAGGCCCAAAATGAATGATATAAATCTTACTACTTTTATGGAAAAGGTTAGTGCTACTGGAGTGGGTTAATATCTTTTTTTTTTTTTTTGATGGGTTAGTATCTTTACATACAAAAGGAAACATTAAGTTATGATTTAATTGATTTAAGATAGCATTGCTAGAACTTGTGAGAATCTCAAGTTCAAGGCCAGCCTCAGCAATTTTAGTGAGGCACTGTCTCAAAACTCAAAATTAAAAAGGGCTGTGGATGTGGCTTAGTGTCTGGGTTCAATTCATGGTACAGAAAAAAAGTATTTTACTCTCATAATTTTGAAACTAGGAGTACTTTGGGGGTTAGAGTATATTGCCAAGGACATAAGAAGCTGAGGCGTAACCAAAGAGAAAAATGTTATTGATTTCAAACTACCATCAACATATGTGTTCCTTTTTCTTCTCCCCAATGATGAAGGGTTTTTTTTTTTTTGGTAAAAGTTGTAATTTCTCTAGTTAGTGTAAATGTAAAGCATCTTTAACATACAACCATCCTTTTACTTTTTTCCTACTTTTTTATTTTCTTTTTGCAGGACTGGGGATTGAAACCAGGGGTTGTACCTGCTAGACAAGTGCTCTGCCACTGAGTAACATCCTCATCCCTTTTTATTTTCTGATTCTTTTTTATTGTCTGTCCTTTTAAAAACAAGAATAGAAAAATGAAGAAAAAGTTATTTTGTATCATTAGGATTATTTTTTCATTTCCTTCCTGAAATAACCTGACTTAGTATTAAGTGCGTGCATTTGTACTACAATAAACATCTGATGGCTCTGAAGCATTTTGAGATAATAAACTGGGCAGGGACCAAATTAGTTTAAATTTAGTATATCAGTGAGGAAACTAGTATGTATATCCTAAAAACAAATGTTAAAATTAAAGAACTTTTTAAAAAATAATCTTTTTCTCTATATTGGGTTGTATATTTTTTTCCCTCTGGTGCTAAGGATTGAACCTAGCCCTTTTTATTTTTTGAGACTGAGTCTCGATAAGTTTATGAGGTTAGTCTAAATCTTATGATCCTCCTGCCTCAGTCTCCTGAGTTACTGGGATTTCTGCCACACCTGGCCTAGACTGGTATATATTTTAAGTAATCAAATTATTACTGAACAGAGAAGTTTATAAATGGAGAGTTTATGGCTGGGCATGGTGGTACATGCCTGTAATCCCAGCAACTCGGGATGCTGAGGCAGGAGGATCACAAGTTCAAAGCCAGCCTCAGCAAAAGCAAGGTGCAAAGCAACTCAGTGAGAGCCTGTTTCTAATAAAATACAGAATAGGGCTGGGGATGTGGCTCAGTGGTTGAGTTCAATCCCCTGTACATATGCACCTACCTACCAACCTACCTACATAAATTAGATAGATAGATACATAGATAGATAGATTAGATAGATAAAATGAAGAGCTTATATGTTTCTGTTCCCCTAGAGAAGAGTTGGGCCTAAAATCTTAGTATTACTTTTTTTATTGTACATGTGTTTGTGTATGTATCTCTTTGTAAGAGATGAAAGGCAGGGATTATTTCTTTTAGATTATATTAACTTTTAAAAAACTATTTATGTTTGATGTATTACTCTTATTCCTTCATTTACTCCATTCACTTGTTCTTGCTCTCTCAAATTAAGTTTGGCCCAAAGCGAAGTTAAATTTTTTTTTTCAAATAATTTTTAGTTGTAGGTGGACACAATGCCTTTATTTATTTTATTTTTTTATTTTTACGTAGTGCTGAGGATCAAACCCAGGGCCTCACAGGTAGTAGGCAAGCACTCTACCACTGAGCTACAGCCCCAGCCCCATGTAGTTAATTCTTAGTGGTCTTAAGTACCTGTAAATAAGGTACTTTACTGTTTCTTCATACAAAAAGGTTTTTTTCACTGTTAATAATCAAGTAACTTTTGTTTCACCTAATTTACTGATGTTTATTTTATTTGTTCAGTTAGAAAATACTAAAATAATATACCTTCAACATCAAGCTAGAAAATAAATTCTTAGTAGATCCCATCCTATTGATTGCCCCCCCACCCCCATGATGGGGATCAAACCCAAAGCCTTGTGCAGAATAGGCAAGTGCTCTGCCACTGAACTATATCCCCAACCCCACCATCAGTTTTTTCGTAAGATTTCTAACTACTCTTATTACTTCATTTCCTCCATTCACTTGTTCTTGCTCTCCCAGATACCTTGAAACAAGTCAGTAGATTTGGTTGACTCTTAAGAGTTTGTCAACTTCATTCAATTCTGCAGACCAAATATATAGACAAATGTATGATTTTGGCTTTTTCATGTTGCGTATTACTGACCTCACTTCATTTTGTTAAACTTTTTTTTTTTTTCTTTTGAGGTATTGGGAATTGGAATCAAGGTGCCTACCTCTGAGCTACATTCCCAGCCCTGTTGTTCATTCATTCATTGCAATACTAGATTTTGAACCCTAGGGATACTTAACCACGTAACTATACCCCCCAATCCTATTTTGTACTTTTTTTTTTTTTAATAAATAGAGTATCTCACTAGGTTTCCTAGACTAGCCTCAAACTTGGACTGCCTTAGCCTCCCAAGGGATTACAGGCATTTGCTAATGCATCTGGCTAAACCTTTACTTTTAATCCACTTGTATTTGTTGCTACTGGATTCTCCTCTACCATATTTTTACTTAGCTTCCTGTTTTACTTAAGTTTCCTGTTCCTGAGTTTTTCTCAATTTTTAAAATTTCTGACCTGTTTTTTTTTTTTTTTTTTTTTTTTTTTGGTACCAGGGATTGAACTCATGGGCACTTAACCATTGAGCCACACATTTTATTTAGAGACAGGGTCTTGCTGAGTTGTTTAGGGCCTCGCTGAGTTGCTGAGGCTGGCTTTGAACTTGCAGTCCTCCTGCCTCAGCCTCCCAAGCTGCTAGGATTACAGATGTAATCTGTATGGCACCATGCCTAGCTTAAATTTGTTTTATAATATTTAGTAGGAAAACTTCAAGTGTAGATATAACACCAGCATTTTCCTACTAAAGACATTTTTTTTCAATTTATAAAATTCTGTTAGATAAAAGAAAAAATTTTATTATAAATTATATTTAAAACCTTGAAGGCTAGTAAAATTGATTTTGTGTTTTGCTTTTTTATTCTGAGCCCTTATTTTTCATCCAGTGAATTTTTTGTTTAAAACAAATGAATAAGGAAAAGTATCCTTTGATATCAGCATGCTTATTTTCACTAAGTATTTTAGAATAGTATCTAAATATTTGATTTTATTTCTTTCAATATTATAGTACTTATAGTGTAATGAAGGTAGTACTTTACAATTTACTTAATACCATTGTATCATTTGCTTATAGGGTGTATTTGACCATCGAATGAAGTGCTGGCAAAAATGGGAAGATGCTCAGATTACTTTGCTCAAAAAACGTGAAACTGAAGCAAAAATGATGGTTGCTAACAAACCAGATAAAATACAGCAAGCTAAAAATGAAATACGAGAGGTGATTGCTAAATGCCTTATTTCTTTACTCAGAGTTTTCATGTCATTCATATATGCATAATTTTTCATAAATTTTTTTCTGACCCATTCAGCACTTAACTACTCTCCATATTTTTATAAACTGTGTTAGAATTACTTTAACATTGTGATCATCATTAAAATCTCCAGAGCCCTTCTGTTACCTACACATGATTATGAAATAAAGAAGCATATAAAGAAACTATTTGAAATTGACCTTTACATTAATAATTATATATATATTTTTAAATGGTTAATATTAACTTTTAGATGATTATTTTGTGTCCAAAAATGACTTTAGAAATAGTTCTATCCCACAGTTAGCTATACAGGCAACATTATCCCCCATATATATGTATTATATATGGTATTTTAATAAATTTGTATAAGTTTATTATAATTTATACACTTTTTTTGCCATGCTTCAATAAGGAAATTGAAGAGGTAGGACAATCTTTATATTACTAAAAATAAATGAACCTGCTCTTTGAAGAGTATGTACCAGTGTTTTGGTTACATAGTGGGGAAAATATCATTTCATTGCTTAAATTTTTAGTTACTTTATTTTATGTGTTCCATTGGTCACAAATCACAACATTCTGTTGTTTTCATCTGAATTTAATGTTTATTAATGGGTCTTTAGTAGACCATAATTCCACTTTTTTAATTTTAATCCAGTCATTTTACCATTACAAAGTGGTTTTTAAATGTCATGTGATTTTCCTATTTTATAAGTATTTTCATGGCATATAAATTGTGATGAACATGTATTCTTGAAATATATATTGTCAGTATATTCTGAAATAATTGATGGAAAAAATGAGAAAATTACACTGTAACATTGCTAATTTATTTGGTAGTGAATTTTATACTCAAAATCTTTCCTGAATTCATATCTTACTAAGCTATAGACATTATAGTTCATTACGTATTGCAATATTCTACTCTTGAATAAATTTAGCAGGGAAATGTTAAAGAAAATAATTGACACGTGTTTCTGCCACTAGAAAGTGAGATACAACTTTGATGCTAAATTGATTTTTGCCAATATTGAGCTTTCTCGGTGTAATTTTTAGACATTATGTTTTTTAAAAGTTCAGTGAATGATCATCATCAAAATTGTAGTTAATTCTGTGATTTTTTTCCAGGCAAAAAATGAAATATTCTTTTGTTTTTATTTATTTTTTTTCTTTTGCTTGTTTTTATTAGTGGGAGGCAAAAGTACAACAAGGGGAAAGAGATTTTGAACAGATCTCTAAAACAATTCGAAAAGAAGTAGGAAGATTTGAGGTATGTATAATGGTTTATGAACATGGTCACATTTTGCTGTGTTTTATGGAAAGGTTAAATTTAATTTTCTACTAATGGACTTTTTTTCCATGCAATGTACTTTATTTAACAGAAAGAACGAGTGAAAGATTTTAAAACTGTTATCATCAAGTACTTAGAATCCTTAGTGCAAACACAGCAACAGGTAAGCTTTTTTTAAAAAATAACTTCTATAATTTGTTTTCATTATATTTTTCATTTTCAAGATGACAATTAATGAGATAGGCTTTTAAGCTCAAAAAGTTATAAGAAATACAAAGTCAGTGACAATAAAAGGAAAAAATGCTAAAGTAATTGTAAGTATCTCAGGTCCTATTTGCCTTTACTAAACAATAGACAGAGCTAGACTTCCCAATATTAGGCCATAAGAAACTTCAGGGACAACTTTCCCTTTCTCTGTCTTCCTAGTTCTATTTCTTTATTGATCAGACCTGTTGTGAGTAAATGCTCATAGTAAATTGTTCTCTTCTTTAATAGAAATCAAAGCTAATTAATTTTTTAGGGCTTTTCGTTTTAATTTTTATTGTTTTGTTTTTTTAATTTTGTTTGGGGTTGTTGGATTAAGTAAAATAGCAGATTGTCTGGTGTATTTTATTTTAACATAAGTTAATGTCAAACAGAAGAATTTCTGAGGGCTGGGGTTAGGGCTGTGGTGGAGCGCTTGCCTAGCATGCGTGATGCAGTCTTCAGCATCACATAAAAATAAGATAAAGGTATTGTGCTCACCTACAACTAAAATATATATATATTTAAAAAAAACACAGAATAATTTCTTTCTCTAGTAGTTTTTCTGTTTTCTGTTTTGTTTTGTTAACAGAAATTACCCAAGAGTGCTTTGCCACTGAGATAAATCCCTAGCCCTTTTTATTTTTGAGACAGGGTCTCACTAAGTTGCCAAAGGCCTTGCTAAATTGGTGAGGCTGGCCTTGAACTTGTGATCCTTCTATCTCAACATCTGAAGTCACTAGAATTACAGGTGTGCACTACCATGTCCAGCCCTAGTAATATGTGGATCTAGAAATTTGTCTATATAAAACATAATGATTATATTTTTTAAATCAGGGAAATGTCTTCAAATTATATTTATATTTTTAAAAAGTAGTTCTTACATTTAGATTTTTTAAAATAGAAAAGTAAGCTCAAGCTTGTTTTTAAAGGGTTTGTTTTAAACTTATAACTTTAGTCCTCTTTTATCTTTATTGCTCAATATTTTCTTCATGCTTTTATCCTATCTCTTTTAGTTAACAATAATATAAAAATGTAAATATCCAGTGAATTAGATGTTACTGCTTTTCTGTTGGAAAAGGTCATTATAATTTTATTATTTAAGGGTAGTATTTTTAAGTATATTGCACCAATATATTTTTATATACAATATAAATTTTTTATATTCAATATATATTTTTATATATATTTTACATAAATCAAACTCTAAGGTACTACATTTTTTAAAGTTACATTGTTTATATAATTTTAAACTGAAATTAGGAGTTATTAATGTTTTAAATAATTTATATATGAATTATTTTAATGGACTTTAGGTAAAGAAATTAATCCTTTAAAGAAACCAGACATTCCCCACAACGTGGTTTTCTGTCCCCCCCCCCCCGCCCCCTGCCTTCTTTTTGTGATACTAGGGATTGAACCCAAGACCTTGCACATGCTAGGGAAACACTCTGCCACTGAAGTTGCTTCTCCAGCCTAAATATGTACAATTATGTGTCAGTTTTTAAAAAAGGAACCAGACAGGGCTGGGGTTGTGGCTCAGTGGTAGAGTGCTTGACTAGTATGTGTGAGGCACTGGATTCTGTTATCAGCATCACATATACAAAAATAAAGTAAAGGTCCATCCACAACTTAAAAAAAAAAAAAAAAACATCTTGGGGCTGGGAATATAGCTCAGTTGGTAGAATGCTTGCCTTGCATGCATAAGGCCCTGGGTTCGTTCAATCCCCAGCACCACAAAAAAAAATAAGGGGGTGGGGGGCAGACATTGTAAATGTTATTAGTTACTTATGTAGATTTTTTTAAATGCTATACTGGATGTATGCATAAAAATGATGAGATAATGAGATTATCTTGTATTATCATCCACAGCTGATAAAATACTGGGAAGCATTCCTACCTGAAGCCAAAGCCATTGCCTAGCAATAAGATTATTCCTGTTAAGAAGACATTGGATGTTTGTTCCAGTCATGCTGAATTCCACAATGAAATCATTTAAAACCATCTAAATAAACCACTATATATTTTATGAATTACATGTGGTTTTTTTACATATATACACATATATGTATATATGTGTGTGTGTGTATAAGACATACATACACACACACATATATAAATACACTCTGACATTTTATTACAAGCTGCATGTCCTGACCCTCTTTGAATTAAGTGGACTGTGGCATGACATTCTGCAATATTTTGCTGAATTGAACACTATTGTGTCTTAAATACTTGCACTAAAAAGTGCACTGCAAGGCCAGAAGATTTTACAATATTTTTTTCTTTATAATATGTTCTGTAGTACCTTACCCTCTTTATGAAGTGAATTATCAATGCATTGGTTATTGTTCACTTATACATTCCTGTACAGAAATTATGACTTTGTGATTACAGTAATAAAATGATATTCCTTGTGAAGTATTAGTAACAAATTATTTGGGTATGTAAACATATTAGGGATCTTTTGGATAGAAACAAGTATTTTCTTCTAAATATGTATAGTTGATGCTGTAATACCTTAAATATTTTAATTGACAGAAAAAGCTGAACTCTTTTATTATTAAATGATTAAATGAAGCTTATAAATTTTCTTATGAGATCATCACAAATCAAAGAACAATGATCTCTTAGTTGTTTTAGGTAAAGAGAATAATTGTCTTTGTTTATTTTAACCATCCCTGTCTTAAGGTGCCCAATTTAGGAATTAGGAAAAGTGTTTATGAGCTTCTGATACAAGTCCCATGGATATTGCTCCTCTTCTATTATCTTCAGAATTTAAGATATATATTTTTTTTCTTGAATTTTCTTGTTTTTTAAAGTAATTCAGTTTTGGTTACAATGGCAAAGAATGGTATCATGTTTAAATACAGAATGATATGATGAATAACCAAGGATACTATAAACAAATTTGAAGTAAAACGAAATATTGCTTTGTCTTTGGCACCCTTCATGTCCTTGTTGTATCCTACTTAAATGACTATTCTCCAATCCTTAATGCTGATGGAAATTTTACATTCTGACTAGGATCAGTTATTTCCATTTTTGAAAATCATTTTTTAAAACACCCCTTTTCTTAAATTCACTGACCACATCTCTCTTCCACAGAAATAAAATATGTGGACTTAATTTCTTTAAGTAGTTTATTGGATACAATTAATGAATCATGGTATCCTCAGTGTGTGATTTATTTGAAATATTAGAGAACTGTAGTTATTTACATTTATATTCTTAGAACCCAAGAGAATACCTGACACATATTTAATAATAAAGGCTTGATGAATTTAACATGAAAAAAAATCCCAGAAGATGCAAAGTAATGTTTACTCTTTTAATAAATGGAAGCAGAAACAGTATAGTTTTCTATTGTTGCTTCTACTGGAAACAAATACCTTTGGGTAATTCATAGTAGTATATATCAGATACTATCTCATTGCCTCATTAATATTGAGTAGAAATTAGACTTTTGAAGAACAGTTTCACTGGAATTGTATCCATATAATTATATTTCTAGTATTATATCCATGGTTATGTTACTTCCAACAATATATTTTATGCATGTTAAATAACTTAGTTATTCAAGCCAAAAATCTTTCATTCAGCTGTGGCACATTAATTAGAATATTTAATATCGCCAAATAAAATAGTAAATAGTTTTAGTCTTGGTGAAAGCTGAGTTTGAAGAAAGTAACATCCAGACTTCATTCCTCTGACCCACATTAACTAAAAGATTGTGTCAGAAATTTCAAGTAAATTATGTGACCTTCTGAATGATACCTACCAACATTTTAGCATGATTTAATTGTTTTAGCACTTCACCCATCAGTCTTCATGCCTCCTGTTCATATTGTTAAAATGCTTTCATTCCAGATAAATATATAGGCTTGAAATATTTATTTTGGGGGTGTTAGATGAAGCAGTGTATGCCTGTAATCCCAGTTTGGCTCATTGAGGCTGAAGGATTGCAAGTTCAAGGCCAACCTGGGCATCTTACTGAGACCCCCATCTCAAAGTTTAAAAAATAAAGGCTGGAATGTAATTCATGGTAAAGTACCCCTTTGTCAGATGGAAAGTTAAAGAAGGACTATACCAGCATATTATAACAAACTGAACCTAGGGTCAATAGGTATTTTGTTTCTTCTGTCACTTAATATGTCTTTGGGCATATCATTTAAACCTCTTATTTATATAAACAATTGCATTAAATTCTTGTTCCTTCTAGTGCCTTTCTAAATATTCTGTTTAAAATATCAAACTTCAGGGGCTGGGGTATAAGCAGTAGAGTACCAGCATGCACAGGCCCTGGGTTCCATCCCCAGTACTGCCCCCCCCCAAAAAAAATCAAACTTCAACCTGGGGAGGTGGTTCAGTGGCAGAGTACTTGCCTAGCATATAGGAAGCCCTGGGTTCAGGCCTCAGTAACACCAAAAAGAAAGTAAAATACCACACTTAAATATAAATATTCTATTAGGAAAAAAATTCTAATCAAAGATCACTTTCTATAAGGTAAAATCAGAATAAAATGTATGTGAAAATAGAATTTCTAACATTTAAGAGTATGTTTTCTTGATTTCATTTTTAGTGAATTATTTTCAACTGTTCAGCTTAATTTATACATATTTATATTAATCAAAGTATATCTGTATGACCATCTTCAATATTTTTTAAAAATACTGAATACCTTTATTCAGTATAAAATTATTCCTAACCCTTATACTGAATGATATGGTTTTAAGTGATAAGGTAGATAATTGCCTGAACATGGAAACAGCATGAAGAAAAGATTACAGCAGAAGATATGTAATTATTAATTAACCTACCTTTGTGATCAGAGTCATGAAGGAAGGTTACAGTAATCTGTGAATGTGGTCCTTAGAATTTAGATAAACAAATTGCATATAATTGCTTTTTTATAGACAAAGTTTTTTTTAAAGGAACAATTAATTTTATTATTTAACCCAGCAGCTTCAAAATATTATTTTACCTGTAATGCAACATATTAAATGTCATTGAGATATCTTATATTGTCTTTTGTGACTTCAATGTCTCTTATGTGCTTTACACTTTTATCATATCTCCAATCTGGCCCCATTTAGTGATCAGCTATCATATGGCTATAACAATATTGGACGGCGTAAGTTTAGACAATGCCTGTAAAAATAGGAGAGTAAGTCCAACAACTGGTTTGTTTCCATCCTGAATCCTGAGTAAAGGATTCCAGGGTGTTTCAAGTCATGTACAAGGTAGGTTTAAGACTTTGTAGCAGTTATTCAAGGAATGTGTATTGGGTTATCTACTAAGAATTAATTATAGTACTGTATTGCTGGAGGGAAACTCTTATACAGTCTAGTTCAGTCTCCTCATTTCACAGATTAAGCAAGCAGATTTAGGGTTTAAATCATGATTCAAATTATTTTTTCTCTTCAGTTACCATGTATGAACATGATTCCTTAATATATGATAAGCCTTTTTTCAAGATTCCTGTTCTAACATGTAGAATTCTAGGAAGTCTTTTAGGATACAAAGAACCTATTGCTTCACACTGTTGCTTCAGAAGTTGCAAAGAAAAGATTTTGACTTGCACATAAACAAATTTAATAAATGATCATCTTCCTTTCTCTTCCTATCATCTACTTTTAAAACATTTTCTGAAGATTGAGTACTTTCAATATTTTTCTTAACTGGGTGAAATGGAAACTTTGTAAAAATCAGCTACTCACTTGTTAACACAGAAAAACATTTTTTTAATTGAGACTAGTTAATGGGATAACTGTTCAAATGCAGCACTTGAGAGGAAAAGTTCTATTTTAAATTTATATAAATCTGTAACTTTTAAACTAAATTCAGATAACATTTAGCAAAACTAAACAATAAATTACCTTTTTGTTGTTTCCATAGTCAAGTCTCAAGTATCTTACAAAAATTTTATTTTCTAGATCTTTATTTCAAATGTTCTCATTACCTGTCAACAGAATGTGTTCATGGGTATACATATGTATGTGTGCATATATGACAATAGACATATGCTTCTAAATTTCGGTTAAAATGTTTCCAATTCACTTGCAACTGAGACATACATTTTCAGAGTTATGTTGTTTAGGTGTGATAAATTTTACCAAGACCAATTTGAGTACATTCTGTTTCTGTATCTGTCTTTCTCTCCCTGTGTAAAGATATTGTAACTGTTTACCAGAACTAGCTTAAGTCTCCTATGAAATACTTTTCTTTATAGTTTCTTTCTTCTCTGCTAGTCCTTCTACCCTACTGCTAAATTGCTCAGAAATCAAATAAGACTTCCTGTAAAGTAGATAGAGTGGTACATGCCTATAATCCCAAGGCCTCAGAGACTTGAAGCAGGAGGATCACATATTTGAGTCCAGCCTTGGCAAGTTTGCAAGCCCTGTCTCTAAGAATGAAAAAGGACTGTGGTGTAGCTCAAGTTATAGAGACCCTGGGTTAAACCCCAGTACCCTATGCATGTGCAGGTACACACACACACATACACACACACCCACAAATATTCTACAGATAGTCCAGATGCTGTTCTTCCCCCTTAACTTTCTTTCAAGGTAGTAGTCAAATGAAGCCACTGTCTTGTGAACAAGTTGTATCCATTCCTGCTTCACTGTTTTTATTAGTGATAACGCCTTGATTTATCATTAGGAATGTTATTTCTGTTTTTTAAAGTAATTGTTTAAATTTTACCCATCCTTTAAACTTTAAGACCAAATTTAAAGTCCACATCTTAAATATTTGCTTTTAAGTCCCCCAGCTAGAAGGAAGAAAGGAATCTCTTGATCTCTAAATAGTTAAGACTGTAATAACACTTAGTTGCTTGCAGACTGTATTTACTGATATATCTATCTTGCATTTTAGTTGTGTGGCCTAACTGCCTTGACTAGTCAGTATATTTTTTGAGGATTGACTAGGCCCTTGTTTCTTGTAGAACCAAGTATGTTCACGGCCAAGACAATGCAGTAGGGCTATTAAGAACACACCCATCCAGCCCACCCTGTTGAATCCTGACTCAAAAACCTATAATACTGATTTTAAGCAAGTGATTTTTCTCTAAAACTTTAAATAAAGTTTCCTTACTGTAATTGGGAAGTGCTTCTTACCTGATGCAGATTTCTTAGCAATAAGAAATGTTTAATAAATACTAGCAATTATACATCAAATAGTTCTTTATTGAGCACTTAAAAATAGTCTGAACAAAGCACACCTGCATTTTGATTATTTACCAATCTTGAGGACTTCTTCAAAACAGTGGGTTTATGCTTGATTATGATGTAAGTGGGCTTACCAAAAAGGTTTTCTCTTGAGAACAGCCTGCCCAGGAGGTCTGCTCTGAGAGCCCTGGGGCTGAGGATCTGAGGTGCAGTGGAAGAATGCTTGAGGTCAAAGTCACTTAGAATTCAGCCAACAGAAGTTTAGAACTATCCTGACTACAGTGACAGCCCTACAGTGTATAAAGGAATGTTGTCAGTCAATGTCAGTGACCTTTAAAGAATCCTGGGGACAACCAAGTTTGTGATGGAAATAGTCACAAATAGCCTCATAAAGAAATATTCTCCCTCTAAATGAGAGGAAAGAGAAACGGGCATATTTGTAGATGAAAAAGTTGTAAGGAGGGCTGGGGATGTAGCTTTGCAGGAGAGTGCTGGTTTGGTTTACCACCATGCATGAAGCCCTGAGTTCAACTCCCAGCATCACCAAAAAAAAAAAAAAAAATTAAAGTTGTAGAAGCTCAAGCCTGCAAGTTTTTATTTTCTTGGCAAGGTAAGAAATTAAGCCAGTAAAGGGACAACAAGAGGAAGACTAAAGGATTGCCCCCACCACAAAAAAAGGCACATTTTTCATATATTTGTTGATTGATTGTATATCCCCTTTGAGAAGTGTCTATTCAGGTCCTTGGCTCATTTATTGATTGGGTTTTGGTGTTTTTGGTTTTTTTTTTTTTTTTTTTGGTGTTTAGCTTCTTGAGTTCTTTATATACCCTAGAGATTACTGCTCTGATGTGTGAGGGGTAAAAATTTGTTCCAAAGATGTAGGCTTTCTGTTCACCTCACAGATTGTTTCTTTTTCTGAGAAGAAACTTTAGTTTGAAACCATCCTGTTTATTGATTCTTGGTTTTAATTCTTGCACTATAGGAATCTTATTAAGGAAGTTGGGGCCTAATCTGACATGATGGAGATTAGGGCCTACTTTTTCTTCTATCAGACAAAGAGTCTCTGGTTTAATTCCTAGGTCTTTGATCCTACCTAAATGCCCTTCAGTATATGAATGGATTAAAAAAATGTGGCATGTATACACAATGGAATATTACTCAGCAATAAAAGAGTAAAATCATGGCATTTGCAGGTAAATGGATGGAGTTAGAGAGATAATGCTAAGTGAAGTTAGCCAATCCTAAAAAAACAAATGCTGATATTTTCTCTGATATAAGGTGACTGACTCATAGTGGGGTAAGGAGGGGGAGCATAGGTGGAATAGACAACTCTAGATAGGGCAGAGGAGTGGGAGGGAAATAGGGGGGCATAGGATAATTAATGATGGTTGAATGTGATGGACATCATTATCCAAAATACATGTATGAAGACACGAATTGGCGTGAATATACTTTGTATACAACCAGAGATTTGAAAAATTATGCTCTATATGTGTAACAAGAATTGTAAGGCATTTCACTGTCATTTATTTAAAAAAAATTAAAAAGGCACATGTTTAGAAAAAAAATTTAGTTAAGTACTAATTTTCAAATGAGTTTGGAAATCATGAATTTACACTGAAGCCACTCAAAGAAAAAAAAATTTTTGAGCTACCAGGCAATGAAGGAATGACAGTGTATTTGGGAGGATTTCAATGTGATAGGCCAAAAGCAGAGTTTCTGATAATAAAAACAGAAGAAAAAGGAAAAAGTGGACAAAGGAGTAAACAAATTTCAGAAATGGTAACAAGAATTTTAGTGTATTGGCACTTGTTTTTAAAAAGATTAATTTAAAAATGGGCAACAACTGCTTATGCTTTTAGTAATATCCTTAGGGTTATTTCGGGAGATTGTTTTATGATTTGCCAATATCTTGGAAGATTTTTACTTGTCAGTACATAAAAGATCTACTTCAGTCATCTGATTTTTTAAATTAATTTTTATTTAATCAAATTAATATATGCACATAATGTGAAAAGTAAGATACCATTTGAAGAGACTAAAAATCAATGCAGTGTTTCTATGCCCACATGTCCCCAGTTTTGCTCCAATCCTTTTTCTCAGAGACAATGTCTTTTTACTCTTAACTCATTTCTTCTGCCATTATCTACCTCCACATTTTATCTTTTTAATGGTAAACGACAGTTTAGTCTTCCTATTCTGCCATCTCTCTTCTTTACACATGTCCCCTACCTTTCAAATGTAGTTATGATTTTTGGTTAACTCAGGTTTCAATGTTTGCATTATTGTGCCTGTATGACCATTGGTCACAGCTGAAAGTTAGAATGTATTTCATCATGATTTTCTTCCATTTTAAAAAAGCAAACATTAGCTTTAGAGCAGTTCTGGATTTACAGTAGTATCTATAGTTTTCCTATGCCCTGCACCTTTTCTCATATTAGCAGTTACATTTGTACATTTGTTAAAATTACAAATTGTATATCCTCTTTGAGTGGATATACAATTATATCCATTAATACTTCATTTATTTAGTTAGTTACAAGGGATTGAACCCAGGGGTTCTTAACCACTAAGTCACATCCTCAGCCCTTTTTTATTTTTTGCTACAGGGTCTCACTAACTTGCTTAGGGCCTAGCTACATTGCTGAGGCTGGCTTTGAATTTGGGGTTCCCCTGCCTCAGCCATCCAAGTCACTGGGATTACAGGTGTGCACCATCGTGCTCAGCACATTATTATTTTTTAATGTAAGTTTTTTATGTATATATGTCAGAGGAATGCATTACAATTCTTATTACACATATAAAGCACAATTTTTCATATCTCTAGTTGTATACATAGTATATTCACACCAA